ATCATTATCATTATTATATCAGAAAATTTTCGGAGATGAGAGAGAGAGAGAGAGAAAAATGAGATTTACACATCATCATCATCATCGCCATCATAACGAGCACGTTGCTCTTTTTCTTTTGAACTTGACACAATTTTTTAACAAACTTTGAATTGTTTTTGATCTTAATAATAATAATAATAATAATAATAATAATAATAATAATAATAATAATAATAATAATAATAATAATAAATTATATAATTATTTCGTTTTGTTATATTCGGTAACGAAAAACGAAAGTAGTGTAGAGATTTTAACAAATGGAAACGTTTGTGAATAATTTTGTAACGTGGCTCCAGATTTTCCCCCTCCCCCCTCCCTCCATTTTAATTCTGACAAGTTATCATTATCATCTTTTTTTTTTTTTTTAAAGGAAAATCCCAGAGGGTTCAAAGAGAAAAAAAAAAATTAATAAAATTTTTTTTTTATAATTCGTTATGTACGTCAAGTAATTTCACTCCGAGGTAATTCCGGTTTACTTAAAATTCATAACTGGAATTTTCTCTTACTTTCTAATAATCAAAACAACCGCAAAAATTGATCCGTTTGTTTGTTTGTTAGTGAAAATAATAATTAGGGAGATAAAAACTTGTTGAACTCAAATTGTTACGATGGATGAATGTATGATTTTCAATTTTTAAACGTTTCGTGTTTTGGTTTAAAGTTAAGGAAAAACAAAAAAATTTTCCTTACCTTCACCGACTTTTCCTTATTTTCTAAACGAGGGCAAATGTATATCGTTATAAAATTCTGTATAGGAAAGTAGAAAGTGGGAGAAAGGTAAAAAAGAAAAAATGTATGGGCAACATTGTGTGTGAAAGATCGATAGAGATACGCAGAAGTAGGAAAAATTATGCCAAGGGTATATCCACGTGTCGAATAAGGAGAGAAAATTTTCACGACCCCCCTTTTACCCCCCTCTTCCCGCTTTCAACCCCAATTCGTTGCAGGAATGTACCACCACCACCACCACCATTCCCCTTTGCCCTATATATATTTAACCACATAACTTTTCCATGAACTGACCCTGGAAAAAAAAATGGGGACAAATTCAATTGATGCGCTCCCGTTTTTTCTCATATATAAATCGAATATTTAAAAATCCATTAATTCCTGGGGAGTGCTGGGGGGGTCAGGGTTTTTTTTAATAAAGCAATTTTCCATCCGATCGATAATTTTTCCTTTTTTTGTCAAACGTTTACAAAGAATAATTTTCACATAATTACATTTTTTTTTTTATTGTGGTCGGATCCCGCGGGATTTCATTTGCCCCCCTCTCCCCTCCCTTCTCATTTTCCTTCGATTTTCATAAACACTCGGAACGGAATAGAAATAGGAACAGGAACAAAGAAAAATAATAAAGTGGAAAAGTTGTAGAGGTTAAAAACTAGGTCAGAGACAAAGAAAGGAAAATGGGGTCCAGGGAGGAAGCTTACAGCTGAGCTCTGTTGCTCACGTGGATTGGGTGGGGAGGGGGTTGTTGCCACCCCCTGAATTTAGGTCTTCGTACAGCTGGTTCATGTAAACACGGCCTTTTTATATATTTTCCATCTTTTTTTATTTTTATCTTTTCGTCTCTTTTTTTGCCCTCGTTTTTTTTTCTCTTAACTTTGTTATTATTATTATTATATTCTTATTTGTTTTCCGCCATTAATTTATTAATAATAATAATAATAATAATGATTAAAAATTGTTTTTTTTTTTTGTTGTTGCAGTATCCTCAGGTGATTGAATTTCGATGTACTTGGCCGGGTTGCACTTATTCAATATGCGATTTATCATCGATAGAATATCACGTTCGACAAACTCATTTGGGGTAAGTTTGTACCTTTTGTTTGTTTGTTTGTTTGTTTTGACTTTTTTTTTTTTGTAAGCGAATTTTTTTGTTTTCGAGCAGTCCAAAGAACGAAACGGATTTGGAAGGAGATCTCAGCGATCACGAAGAAGAATTTTATTACACGGAAGTTGAAGTATCGAGAGCAGACGTCATGACAAACACGGTTGTTACTCTTCCCGTTCATCCTCATAAGGATATGTGCAGGCCGTCTCACGAGGATCCTGATTACCAAAAAACAAAAGGTTATCCAATAGTACGTTCATCCAATAACACTCCAACTGCCAATACGCCATGGAGTTCATTCACTGTAAAAATTTTTTTTTTTTTTTTTTTTTAAATTTTCTGGAAATTTTTTAAATTCTGGAAATCATTTCCATTACACGCAACGATTTAATTTTTTTTTTTTTTTTTCCCCGATCGAATAGAAACAAATGAAACTGGGCAATAGTTACACAGGCATTCAACCGGATATATCATCAAATCGATCCAATAATAATAATAATAATAATAATAGTAATAATAATAATAGAGCCTTCACATTCGGTTCGTCCGAAATGTCATGGCAACCGAGTTCTCTTTCGGCATCGGCACCCAATAAAATTAACGTTAGCAAAACTCCAGGATCTCCGACGAGGAAAGCGAGAGGGGAAACGAAAAAATGCAGGAAGGTATACGGAATGGAACATAGAGAACTTTGGTGCACGCAGTGTAAATGGAAAAAAGCATGCAGTCGGTTCGGTGACTAAAACAACAACAACAACAACCACAACAACTACAAACAAACAAACAAATCAAGGTTGGTGCAATCAATTTTTTTTTTTTTCTTCTTTATTTCCGGTGTTTTTCAAATTTAAGATTATTAGTTATACCTTTCTCTCTCTCGCTCTCTCTCTCTCTTTCTCTCTCTCTCTGTGTCGTACGCACGCGCACGCACACACACTCGCATACCGTAATTTTAATAGTCATTCTCGGTAATTACTCTTCGGCGCGTGGATCGCTAACCTAAATCGATGATTCCCAAAATCGGTTTAAATATAATAATAATAATAATAATAATAATAATATTATAATTTTAAAAAATGTATACGCCGATGATGATGAGTTGTAACTCCTTTGACCTCGCCGTATAAATTTACACTTTTAGGTATGAGCTTCCATCAAATGGTAAAAGATAATAATAATGATGATGATGATGATGATGATTTTCACTTTGGTATTTTTTTCTTTTTCTTTTCAGGATCAGTCAAATCGACGAGAGACTGAGTCAACGTAAATGACAAATCTTTCTAGAAAATTTAAAAAAAAAAAAAAAAAAAAAAAAAGAAATTCAAATAATAATAATAATAATAATAATTTACATCCGCGCGGTTTTTTTTTTTTTTTTTTTTTTTTTAATATCGAATAATTAATTGGATGATTTTTATTACGGTAATTTTAATTAATACTGCGTAAGACAAGCAATAATAATAATAAATGACGTAGTAATAATAATAATAATAATATGAATATAAACGTACGGGGCTAGTACATATTACCTTTACAAAATATTTTTTGATAAGTAATTATTATTATTATATTAATTACTTAAAATAATTACGTAATAATAATAATGATAATAATAATAGTAATAATTAATCGTTTGATGACAACGCCGCGTAGTAGAAAAAAGAAAAAAAAAATTTTTTTTTTTTTTTTCCCGGATGTGAATTTCAATTTTATAAATAAACGAGTTTTAATGGCATAAATAGAACGATTTAAAATTAATAATAATAATAATAATAATAATGATGATGATGATGATGATGATGATGATGATAGTTTTAATGTTAAAATGTAATCCGTCAGTGTGAGTCAGGTTGGGTTTAGGTCAAAGTAACGGCCGACGCCGAACCGCGCACGAGAATTAAATAACTACGAATTACTTTGTGTACTGTCACGTGAGCCCCGTTACTTATTATTATTATCATTATCATTTATTTATATAAACAACGTATATTATATTTAATTATTATTATTATTATTACGACGACGAAAATGACATACATCCTTTTGGTAGCTTTATAGAGAAATTAAAAAAAATACCGATTTGTAAATCAGGACTTTAACGAATCCTGAACTTGTTTCGACGAGGACGAGAGGGAGGAAGGAGGAGGAGTGAGAGGGAAGGAGGAAGGAAGGGCGGAAGGGGAGGGGATGAAATTGGAATCCGTTTAAAATCGTTTCTCGTTTGTATTTTAATTTTTTTAGGGAATGGGAATTCCGAATGAGAAAAATGATTTTTACACCCAAATGCGTAATTATCAATAATAATAATAATAATATTAATAATACTTTTTATATATATATTCATTGTTACCAATTTTAAACGGGGGAAGAGTAGTTGTTGTAAAAAGAAAGAGAAAAAGAGGAAGAGAGAGAGAGAAAGAGGAAGCGAGAGAGAGAGAAATAGGAAGAGAGAGAGAGAGAGAGAAATACGTTTGGATAAATTAAAAATGGACAATATTATTTTCTCTCTCTCTCTTCCTAAAATTGTTAATTTACATAAAAAACGACTTTCGATATTATTATTATTATTATTATTAAACAGAAAACATTGAATGCGCTATAATAAATGTTTTATTTTATTTTTTTGCATCGAAATTTATTATTATTATCATTATTATTAATTTACGTTGTTTGTTGTTACGTTTCCGTTTGTTTCGAATCGTTTGTCGAAAAGTTACACACACATAGACAACACAACGTGAATAAAATCTCAAAATTATTATTATTATTATTTTTTTAAAAATAAAGACAAATATATATATATATATAAAAGATAATAATAAAATAGCAGAAGACAAAAAAAAAACGAAAAGAATAAATATTATATATTATATAGAGAAAGAAAGAAAGAGAAAGAGAGAGAGAGAGAGATAATATAGTAAATAATAATTTTTTATGTTATAATATAATGTACCTTTATTATTATTATTATTATTATTGATAAAAAAAATTGTAGTATAACAGATTTTAATATATTTACATAAATCCTATATATATATATATATATAAATAAATACATAAATACACATATATTTTTTTTTAATTATTATTATTATTATTATTATTATTATTGTACAATTTAATTTTAAATGTATATTATAATTATAATTTTTTTTCCCCTTTTTGTTTTATATATTATTTAAACGACAGAAAAAAATATGTATATAAATATTTAGTATTAATTTAATTTTAAACAATGATATATACATAATAATAATAATGATAATAATAATAGTTTGCATCAAACAAAAAAGAATTTTATGAATTTTTTTTTTTTGTTTTTTTTTTCTCCTATTAATATTTTGTCAATTTGAAATAGTAATAATAATAATAATAAACGTACACAACCGTTTGAATTTATATAATAAAGAAGAATAGGAGGGGGGAGGGGAAATATATATATATATAAATAAAATATAGCAATATATATTATATAAATATTATTTATAATTATTATTATTATTTTGATGACTGAGAGTAATTGAATGGATTATATAAAAAAAAAATGTGAAAATTGATTGGTTAATTTTTGGTGGGGGAGGGAGGGGGATGTATTAAAAATGTTTATGTAGGCATTGTTAGAATTATAGAAAGCTTCGTGTTGTTTATATATATATATATTATATTATAATAATATAAATATAAATATATATATATATGTGTATATGTGCTTAGACAATGAATATTATAAGTTGGAAAAGTTTTGTGTTTATTATTATTATTATGATTATTATGTTTCCGGTTGTAAAGTGTTGTTAATAATAATAATAATAATAATAATTTTGGTTCCTCATTGTATTTAATTAGATACAGACAAATATATATATATATATATATATAAAATTTATTTCCTCTTAAAGGATTTTCAATATTAATATAAGATAAGATAATGATGATGATGATGATTTTTGTTGGTTGGATTTGGGTGATTTAAAATATAAAAAAAAACCTAAGATTATTATTATTATTATTTATATGTTTTTTTTTTTTTAAATTTAATGTAATTGTTTTATTTAATTATAATTTCCCCCCCCCGTTTTGTTTTTAAAAAATTTAACCCCCCAACCGAATTAATTATGTTTTATTTCGTTTCGAAATTTAAAATAATAATAATAATAATAATAAATTAATTAATATAAATATATAATTTTTTTTTGTATTATTATTATTATTATTATTATTATTATTTATAATTTTACTGTCCTTAATAGGTTAAAAGTTTTTTCTCATTCGCTTAAATCTATGAGATGATGCGAGCGCGGATTCCATAGAGTAACAAAAAAAATTTTTTTGTGAAAAAAAAGTTTCCTTTGTTGTGACGTCACGATACCATTTTCAAAACAAGAGATGTTTTCATTTAGTCCGGGAGTGATGATTATCTTACAATGACGGACATAAAGTCCGCGGGAAAAGTGTTTTTTAATATCTATAGACAATAGTCTATCTCTCTCTCTTTATTTATTTTTTTATCTCACTCACACATTTCGTTTTACATTTTATTTGAAAAAAAAAATAATAATTTATTACATTTTCGAAACATAAAAATCTCATCCCCCTTTTTTTTTTTTTTTTTTTTTAAATATATAAATTTAATTGTAATGCGTTCGGTATGTAAACAAACGCCCGCGGAAATATTTGGTATCGAACCTGTTTCGTGTAATAAGGAAGATCATTCCGGCATTGTTCTTTGGTTTGGAAGACTTTGGATGTGCGTAAGTAAAAAATGTGTCATACAGACGTATTTGTAAGTAAAAAAACAAAATTCTTATACTTTATTTAAATGAAAACGGTTATTCGTGAGTGAGTTATTATTATTATTATTATTATTATTATTAAGCACGTAAGTTTACGTACGAATTTTTTTCCCTTATATAAAAATTTTAACGGTAACGGTTTTCGTGTTTTCATACGTACGATTTATTTATTTATTTATTTTGGACATATTTATCGTGAGGAAAGGAATCGAATTTAAATTTTTAATTTAATTCAATTAATTATTTATATTATTAATGTATTTGTTACATAAAATTAACTTACAAAAGTTTATTAATAGTTTTTTACATTTTATAACCTAACATGGTTAGGAAAATAATTACATTTAACAATTCGACATTTATAAATGTCTGCTTCTTAACACAGTTTCTAACAATTTTTAATAATTTTATTAATATTAATCATTCGAATCATGTTTTGACATAAAAACAATATTTTAAAATTTATTTATTATAATATTTAATTAATAAAGAGAGAGTCTCCATTTAATAAATGATAATAACGGTTAAATTATTTTTTTTTGCGGTTTGATTAATCTTTAATTAAATTTATATAAATAATTATAAATAGTTTATATTATTCGTAAGTCATTTTTAATGTTTAACAACACTTAATTGGGGGGGGGTGGGGAGGGGAGGGAAAATATAATAAAAAATCTTAACGTTCTCGTTAAGAAAAATTTGAATTTAAAAAAAAAAAAAAAAAAAAAAAAAAAAAAAAAGAATGAGTCTAATCGCACGTCGGCAGACGACAAAATCTCCATTAAAAATGGCTTTCGATAAATCTAAATCAGAAATTTTTACATTCTCATAAAAAATAATTTTTTATTAATTTATAAAAAAAAATAAGCACTCATAAATACATATATAATTTCTTTTTTTTTTATTTATTTATTATTAAAATTAATGATTATTCGTGTTTAAAAAAAAAGGAAAGAAAAAAAAAACAAAAACTTTGTTATATAATTTAAAATCATTCGTTTAATTTAATTTTTTTTTGCTATAACGTATATTTAAATAATGACTTCATTAAAGGTAAGTTAAATTTTTTTTTTTTTTTTTTTTCACTTTAAATTTCGAAAGAAAAGTTATTTTATAATTTTATAAAAGTTATTTATAATTATAATTATGGCTTATGCAATATTTTTTAATTTTATTGCATATGGAAAACGGTTTATTAGTATTTTTTATTAAATATTAATAATTGTTATTTCGATTTAAAAAAAAGTTTTTTGGAAATTTTAAAATACTTTTCTTTATCGATATTTTTAATAAAAAATATTTACTTTTTTATATGTGACACATTTGATTAATTGCAGATATTTAAAAATATATTAATACCAAGTGCTGCTGGTGTAACTGCAACCTCGGATAGTTTAAAAAAAAGTAAATCTTTGGAGGATTGTCCAAGTGAGCCAGGAACAAAACCTAGCGATCTTCCATTATATGCAAAATGTGCTCAATGGTAAGTTTTAACTATAATTAACATTAACTTCTCTTCTCGACTAAACTAATGAATTAAGTTAACACTTTCGCAATCGAGAAATGTGTATGAATTATGTAGAAGTGATGTGCACACTTTTGATTTCAGCGAAGACACACCAAATAGCTCACCTCCTAGTAGTATGGAGGAAGCAGTAGGTAATATCAGAAGAGAACTCTGGGTTTGGCAAGACAATTTAAGAGGATACAGGCATAAGATAATAGATGTTTATCAGAAAGGATTTGCAAAAGCCGATTGTAAGTATTTATTAGAATAAATAATAACATAATTTAAAAAAAAAAAAAAAAAAATCGTGGAAAGGTTTTTTTCGCAAACCACGATGTGTGTGAAGAGAGAGTTGAAAAATTTGTATGAGGGTCAAAGGCATATGTATTCAGGCCCGGGTAATAAACATGCGAGAAATCATTTGGAACAATCGTTAGAGGATAAATATGATGTACATTCTCAAATAAGTAAAAATAGCATGACTACAAAATCGAGATGCATAACAGATTTTAAAGGATTTCCAAGGCCTTGGTCGACTGGGAAAAAATTTGATACTTTTTGCATTGATCATTGTGGTAATCCGTGTAGCAGCGGAATAAGGAGTAAAAAAGATGATAATCAATTCCAACAGCAAATTCATCATTGTCAAATAAAACATCGTCCAAATTGCCCCGTCCCACAACCCAAATGCGAACATACAAAAACGGAAAAAATTCCGCCTTGCGAAGGACCCCCCCAAAAAGGGTGTTGCTCATATTGTCAAAAATCCGAATGCTGAGACAAATGACAGATATTTTTATTAGCACTATATATATATATTATTTATTTTTTCTTTAATATTATAAGACTGGACGTAATGGATATATTATATTTCTGGCTCAAATTTTAATGTCCATATTTTTATATTATTTATTTATTTATTTATTTTTCATTCGATTTGGATTATTTTTTTCACATTTTTTTTGTCGACATTAACCCTAAGTGTAGTTATAAGTAAAGTCTTAATATGTATATATTTATATGTAAATATTATTATTATTATTATTATAAGGTTTTAGTTATATTATGTTACAAAGGTAAGTTATCTGGCATATTTTTATTACAATTACTTTTATTATTTTTATTATTATTATTATTATTGTTTTGTGTTAAGTACTATTATTTTATTTTTCTACTCGTGTTTGTTTGTATTCATTGTTTTTTTGTTTTTTTTTTTCTTTTTTTTTTTTTTTTGGGGGGGGGGGCATCACTAATTCACAGATGCAATAGATTATCTACGAGAGGAAAAAAATGGTCCAGAGAGAATAGGTGCCATAGGACTCGCAGGTTTGACGGGTTACGTATTAGGAATGAGGAGAAGCAGGTTCAGGAGGTTCATGTATAGCGTGTGTGGTATGGTCGGCATGGCAGCCATTTGTTACCCGAATGAAGCAGTCGATTATTTCGAAGCTGTCGTTTTGGAAACGAGAAAATATTTTATCGTCGCCTATCATTTCATCTACGGTGGTAAGTAAATATTTAAACGTTCAAGACATTGTGTCGACGTGTTGTTGATCATTTTTTGTGATTCTTGATTGCAGAAACTCCAAAAATGCCAGGATGGCTCGATAAATTGACAAACGATATGGGATTGTCAATATTAAAATCCAACGATAATAAAACGGTAATTGATTTATTATATATTATATTACAGACCCAGTAGAAAAACCTAAACGCTCAAATGTAGAAACAACTCCTAAGGAACCTAAAGTCAGAGATTGTTTATGTGCCCCTAACCCGAAGGACCCTCAACCTTGCGTTTTGAAATGTGATTAATTAATAAATCGTAAAAAAACGAAAAACAAAGACAAAAACAAAACAAAAACATAAACAAAAACAAAAAAAAACAAAAAAATTTGCACTTTTATTACGTAGTTCTGTAGTGGTGGTAGTGGTGATGGTCGGTGATCGGTGGTGGTGACAACCTAAAAATTTTAGAGGGTATATATATAACGAGGTACTTATTTTGTACTCGTTGTGAAATTTTTTTTTACATTACCTGCCAAACAAAATAGGATCCTTAAAATTTAAATTGTCCTCTCCCCCCTTCTCTCTCTCTCTCTGTTGCAAGAAAAGTTTTAAAAATTTCAAATTTTTCTCTATTGCATTGTATTTTTTGGTTTATTTCAGGATGAAAAGTCAGAGATTGAAAAACCTGCCGCACATACTGAGAAATAGGATAGTAGACGTAGTAAAACATAAGCCACACACAAAAAAAAAAAATAAAACGAAGCCGTTTTTAGCAGTTTTATATGCAAATGTATACTTATAATATAAATATATGTATATACTTGTACGCATATATATACTTTAATTTTTTATATAATAGGTTTTAATAGCCATACTTAACTTATTGAGCTTAACTTATTGAGATAAAAAATTTTTTTAAAATTATGATTGATTGATTGACTGATTGATTGAAAATAACTTTACAAGAGTAAATTTATATTAAGAAAATGAATGTTTTACATAATTAAAAGAAGAAGTTGTATTTGACATGGCAATAGTAAATTATTTTATTTATTAAACTTTGTTAGAGTTATCATCATCATTAATTTCTTATAAATAATGCTTAATAATTGAAAATAAACTGTCACTGTTGAATATTAGTAAATTTAAATGATTTTAAAAAGAATTTATGGGCAAAAAATTAAATAATTATTTATTATTTTACATAATTTTACAATAAAATTACAATCGACATCATAAAACATGTAAAATTCAGATGTTAAGGGGGGGGGGGATTAATTATTTTGGAATCTATAGCTTAAAATTTGATTGTTAAAATTGTTATAACGAATAAAAATTTTAATTTTATTGTTCTAAATAATAATTGTAAATTTATTTTAATGGCGGTTGGCTACTGTGTGGAAAATTTAAATAAAAACAATTGAATGCGGGTAAGTAGATTGCATAGCGCGTTGTAAATTTGTCGTGGTACTAGATAAATAGTTTCTTTATTATTTGCGGTAGCATGGCGGTGCTCGTGAATAAATCCTAAAAAAATTATTTGACTGTTTTCAAAATTTTTGTTTTTGTTGTTTTTTGTTTTGTTTTTTTTTTGTTCGGTTTTCCATTCGTTTTGAACGTTGAAGGAAAATTACACTTCTCGAATTGTTTAATTTTATTTAAAAGCGGTAAGTTATATCGATTAATAATTATTAATTATTTAATGATGATGATAACGTTTCATGTCGAAGTAGTAGTAGCAGTAGTAGTGAACACAAAAATCATTATGTGTTAACAATATTTGTTTTATCGATTTAAATGTTTTTTTTAACATTTTGAATGATTTCCTTTGTAATATATCATTATTATTTTGTTATAATCCGTTGAACTCTCATCAAAAATTATTTTATAATCTTTTACTATCGGTGCGGGTATTAATTCTTTTACATATTGTAAATACAAATGTTTCTTATTTGATATTGATTTTTTTTGTTTTGTAAACTTATATTTTTTCGATCGATATCTAAATATGTAATGAATAAATTAGGCGTCAGAATTAATGAAATAATTTTTTTTTTTACAAAAAAAAAATTGCTGATTGTGGGCGAGTAATAAAAAAAATGGCGTGCGGTTAAACAGGCGTTTCTTTATTTAACAAGAATTTTTCGTTCCACCGTGAGTGTATGCCAGTCATCTTTTTACATTACCTTGAATTTTTTTTGTTGTTGTTGTTACAATAGGAGTGGGGAAGGAATAGGTAAATTTACTTATTACATTCAATGGTAAAAACCTACCATTTTGTTAGTTAGTTCATAAATTGTGTGACTTAGTTTGTAATGTTCTGTAAAAAGAGAAAAAAAATTTTGTCGATACTTTTTTTTTAACTATAGGTAAATAATGGTTTACATAATCTGCAGATGTTTTTTTATCACAATTTGTATGCATTTTAAAATTTTACATTAAACACTTCAAAAATGATGACAGGGGGGAATATGAAACAAAAAAAATTTCAATTTTGTTATTTTACACGCTTATACTTTGTTTTTACCTTGATAATATAATTTGAACTCTCTCTCTCTCTCTCTCTCCCCCCTCTCTCTCTATCTCTCTTTTTACAAAATGTTAATTTTTTTGTGTTATGTTTCTGGGTCACAAGAGTTAAATTAAACAGAGAAAAAAAAATTTTATATTAAAATCATTAACAAGATTTGTTTTTTAATGTCGAGAAAAAAAAACAAAAGGAACTTGTAATAGTTTTCGATAATTTAGATATCATTATCAAAAGGAGATGAACAAAACAGTTTCGAGTATTCAAAAGGAAAATTTTTGTTAATTTATTTAAACGTTTAAATAAATAAAAACCTTTTTCATTTATTTAAATAATTGTTAGGGAAAATTGTACATCCATGAATTATTACTTTACAGTAAAAAAAAAAAAAAAAAAAATTAATTTGTTTTGAATTCGAGGTTTAACAATATTCACTACAATTCCATATGTGTGTAGGTGTGTGTGTGCGTGTGTGCGTGCATTCCTTCGTATGTGTGTTAACATGATAAAAAATATAATGCCACGTCGAAAATACTTTTAAAAAAAAAAAATTGTTTTTTTTTTTTATTTGTCGAAGGGGAAAAAAAAATAATGATTATGCAGTTCATTAACCTAACTGGAGTTATGAGTTCTATATCACCATTTAAATGTGTATTGGTTAATTAACTGTGTCATACATATATATGTTTAATAATAATAATAATAATAATGTTATTAATATCTTTATAATTATTATTTTGCTTGCTATTATTATTATTACATCTTTTCTTTATTGATTCTTATTGTCAGGTACTTATCAAATTTCATTCTTTTATCATTTATAATTAATAAGAAGGAGGGTATTATTATTATTAATAATAATAATAATAATTATTATTATTATTTTGTTTTTTGTTGTAAAATCTTTAAAATTTTTATTAAAAAAATAGATTTAAAAAGTCCTTACTCTTAAGAGTAAGATAGAATATTAGGTTTCTAATCTTTATGAACCATTTTGTTTTTAAAACAATTAAGAAAAAACTCAATTATTATTATTATTATTATTTTTTTTTTTTCCTTCTTCTCCCTCTATCTCTCTCTATCTATGTCTGTCTCACTCTTTTGCTAAATAATAAGTTAACGATGTGTATCGAGTTAGTAAAAATCTATGAAAAATATGTTTATACTTTTTTATTTCTTCACCGTTTTCCGTGAGGGGAGAGAGAGGAGGGGGAAGGGGGAAAGGAGGGAGGGGTGAAAAACCTGTAGGAAACAAGGTGAAACGGGGAGGGGGGGTAAAAAAAAGGGATGTTACAAGGGCGTTTTTTTTTTTCTTTTCGTGTGTTTTTCTGACATGGCAACAGAGTCGACTCCGTTCCATCAGTTGAATATAAAATTTTAAACCGTTCGCACGCCGTTCGTTTCCTTCGGGGAAAAAAAAAAAAAAAAGAATTTTTTTTTTTTTCCCTTTTTTTTCCTTTTCTTCCTTTTTTCCTTTTTTTTTTTTTTTTTCTCTTTACAATTCGATTTTTGTTTTTATTTCCGTTTGTTTTCACATTCGAACCGAGACACAAACAAACACGCGAATTTCTTTTTTTCTTTGTTTCTCGCGATAAAAAAAAAATATGTGATGATAATAATAATAATGATGATGATAATGATGATAATTTGGATTGATTTTCATTGATTTCCAACTTGCGATTTATTTTATCAAACGTTGTAAGTAAAAAGAAAAAAAAAAATTAAGTTATTTCTCGAAATTACATGACTCGAATTTTTTTTCGCGTGAAAATACATAAAGACCATTTAAAAAAGGAAAAGAAAAAAAGGAAAAAAGGAAAAACAACAAATAACAAACTCAATTTCGTATGATATTTATTTAAAAAAAAAAATAGAATGTGAACGAACTAAATTTTTTTTAATCGAGTCAAGGCTAAAAGCTCGTATTTATTTATTATCCTGAAAAATAATAAATTGAAAATTTTTCGTATAATTTTGTTAAAAGTATTTTCTCATTATTATTATTATTATTATTATTATTATCATTATCATTATTATCATTATTCGTTTAATGAAAATTATTATTGTGTAATCGTCATAAAAAATTGGGAAATGTTTCGTAACGACGAATAATAATAAAAATTTATTTATTTATTTATTATTATTATTAGTATTTTAATAATAAAAAATTTTCCTCTCTTAGTTTGTTGTGATTCTTTTTTTTGTTTGTTTGTTTGTTTGTTTGTTGTTATATGTTTTTCAAAAAACGAAATTATAAATAATGATGATGATGATGAGACGGCGAAAGAATGAAAAGGCGGGTGGGGGGGGGGAATTCAACAGGAAGGAAAAAAAAAGAAAATTTTAAAAGAGGACACAAAGTAGTAATCAATAAAATATCCGACGACGGTTTTCAAAATCATAAAAAATTCAAATTTAATTTTTCACTTTTGTTGAAATCCGTCTTTAATTTGTTTGTTGTTTGTTGTTGTTGTTGTTGTTGTTTTTTTTTTTTTTAATCGTAGAGAGAAAAAGAAAAGAAAAGTTTGCGAGGGATTTATTTATTTCCTTTTTTTTTTTTTTTTTTTTTTTTGTTTGTAAATGTTGGGCAATATATCGAACACATAAATTCACGTTACGTTAAAAACAAAAGGGAGAGAGAAAAACTGCAAAAAAAATGAGTAGGCAAATTGTAGTACATTAATGTTTGACATATTGTAGAAATGTTATTTATCAATGATGAAAGTAAATTTTTTTTGTTTTATTTTTTTTTTTTTGGGGGGGAAGGGAGGGGGGAGGG